ATCCACATTTACTGTGAGTACCAAACAAGTACTTGCTGTAAGTAATGCACCACACATTAAGAGTAATGTTCATATGAAAATATAAATGTAATATCCTATATAAGGGTTAAATCAGAAACAAAGATGCACTTTGTACTCTAAAAAAATACATATGCCACACCTCTTTAGCTTAGCAAACATATGACTTAATTATTGTTTTAAAATCAAACAATGAATTGTTTCCAACAAAACAAAAACAATTGAATATATTCATTTTAAGTCAATCAATACCCTACCAGCAAATTATCAGGCACGAAAAAGTTAGGTCATTATGTACCGACAGAATAAAAATCACCACATCGGTGAACAGTTTTCCTTCTGTCTTAAACTATCTAAAGGACTCTGTTCTTACAAGATGATCATTTCATCTGAATGCAGAAGCAAACTCACTTGCTTCCACAGGAAAAGACTTTACACAGTTGATTTGATGGCAGGTGATAACGCATATCTGAGCACTCTGACATTCATTTTCCAATCAACAGGCAATAGGTGGAACAAACTATTCGATAACCACACACTTACAATCCCCCTCATTAGGAACGTGCAGGATTACCATGTGATGCACATTTGCATCACAAATAAATAGTAGGAACTTCCAAGGTGCAGAAGACTGGGACAGTGAACAGTGTGAACAGTCGATGGTTGAGCACATAGACTGTGCACAGTAAGGTGACAGAGAGGCAAAATCCACAATATACAGTAGATTACAGAATAAAAAAGCACATATGTGTATTTGTGCATGCACACATTCTGGACACCCCTGCATTCTTTTGGACCCAATATGTTACATTTTCATATGATGTAGTCTAAGTGTTTTGTGCTTTTCACCTACCAAAAAGAAACCAAAGAAGAGGAAAAAAGGTCATGGTCAAGGTCAGAAAAAACTTATTAATTTTAGGGTTATAATCCTTTTAAGAATAATAACTTTTGTGCTGAGTCTTTAATATTGTGTCCATCTCATTATGTACCAGGCAATTAAAAAAAGCATTCCAGAAATGGAAATTCATGTTAGAAAATGTTACATTTTAATGTTTAGAACTTGACTGGCATTAAAGATTTTTTAAATGTCAATAAAGCACTGTGAATACTTTTAATATGCAAATCCCACCCACTTCTATTAATTTAAATAAACTAAATGTTAACACAGATAATCATCTCTATCCGAGAACTCCCTGATACTCCTTTCAGGGGGACAGACCACTTACAAGAGTCACTGGGTAAATGATAATCTGTGCATAAACATCTGGGCTTGGACTGAAGATTTTAGAAATGATTACATTCCTCAAGAACAGAAGATAACACTGAATATCTTACACCAAAAATGACAAAACATTGGAAAAATGTTTGTAAAAAAATCTGAAAACAAATATGAAAAGTAAATTAAATCTACATCGTGAACCCACTCTTACTCACAAAGGTTCAGTTTCGGGTGGTAAGATGAAAGCTGCACCATAAGCAATGATATTCTTCCTTTCAGGGTTGTTAAAGCCCTCAACCACAACGTCCGCTCTTCATCACTGTATAAATGTAGTCTTTACACCACTTCCTTCCTCTGTCAAGTCTAGTTCCGGATTTCCACAAAAGATAAGCACAGAAAGAAAAACAAGTCGTCCTTTGGCAGGAGCGAAAAGGTTAAGGCCTTTCCAAATCTCCAGCCTTGCACACTGAGAACACTGTCACTGCTTTGCTCATGTTCCTCAGACATGAAAAAATCCTGGCCTACGCTGCAGTCTAAAAGTATAGTCTAAAAGGGTTAGTTTAGGACCACACTGAAAAAATATCCCTCAACTACAAACATTGCATCTATGTCTCTTCTTGAAAGTTACAGGAACTGCTGTCAACAACTTCTTTAAAAGAAAGCCCTCCAACAAAAAAAAAGGGTGATTATGGAAAAAAAACTGTAACATACTGTACTGTAACATAACTGTGCAGCTGTCTTTACTATGCTGTTTTCTTGGGCAGTGGCCTGACTATAATTTGACCAAAAGATCGGCCAAAAAACTGTTAAGATTATTAGATACTAGAACAGAACAGAAAGCAGTTGTTATACAAAATGGAAAACATTTTCCACACCAGTGACACCTAGATAAAAATACTTTATAAATACAGGTGCCCTACATGGGAAGACAAAATGTTGTTCCAAATATTTCTGCTGTCATTAATTAGCAGGTTTTCATTTTTATTAATATTTTGATTTACACATTTTTCTTGTCAAATTGGTGAAGGAATCCTGCCCCGGTAAGTACAAATAAAAGTAAATTGTAAAGACTCAAACTTAAGACTTTGTAAAAGGTCTTTGGAAAGTAAAAATACATCAATGCAAACAGAACAGAATGAAAAATCATCAAATTAATGTTTTTTTGCATTTGCCATACTGCTAACAACCTCACCGGGTGGTTGGACACTTTCAATTAATTTATGTCTAAATTAGCTACAGGTTGAATAATACATCTACTTTATGTATTTTCTTGCATTTTTAGCAGTTTATTCCCAGATTTTCACCACATTACAGAGGATACTACAGCCAAATCAAAATAAACTTTTTTGTTGCTCAGGAACTAAAGCATATCTTGGATGGATCCCACACAACAAACCTGTATATTAATAGTACACACACCTGCTACTACTCACTTCATTTCCAGAATTAACAGCAAGATGTTAAAATTAAAAGCAATATTTGGTAAAATAACACTAGGTATTTTTGCCCCCATACAGTAGAAAATATCAATACATAATTTGTTGTATTTGTGTATTTCCACCATTAATATCTAGCAACAGTACACAGCTGTGTCATTGTCTCCACACACATTGCTACAAATCCTGCCATCTGTATACCTTGTCATCCATCCTCTTTATACATTTCACCTCAACTAAATTATATCCTAAGAAATGTTGCCACATCCTTGTCATGTTAAATTTCTTCTAATCTGCATGTCATCTGCCACATACGTCCCTGCTGGAAAACAGCTGTGTCCAGACAGTAGGAAACTCCATGTGTAACAAACTTCTCTCCAAGAATGAATAAATGCCAACACAAGTATCCTCAAAGCATCCAAGATAATAGAATGATACAAGTTTTATGCAGAAGCAAACCAATTTTTTTACCTTTACACAAAATATTCAGCAAATAAACTAGTTGGCAAGGCATATTACATTCAAGCAAAATTATATTTAACCTAGTGACTTGATTATAGGCACCCTTGATCTGGAAGTAACTCAGCGCGTTCCACAAGCTCCCACAGAAACCAAAGCTTGAAAGAGCTGTACACTCACACACGTTGCAGAAAGCAAGTCTATGTGCATGATATCAGTGCAATTACTGACAATTCTGAGCCAACAAGCACTGTCCTTGAGGAATGAAAAGGAAACAAACTATGATCATACAACATGCATGCATGCATGAACTACACTGAATGCTGGTGAATATAATTGGACATGTTCTGCTACCATACAACCCAGAACAAAACAGTTGCGACTCATAAGATGGTCATCACTTTACTTGTATGCGCTATGCTCTATAGTTTTATTAACAAAACTAAAAGATTTCATGTATATTTCATGGAAAAAAACACTGAGTACCAAAATAAAGCAGCAGTTGGAGCACAACCTACTTGCTTAGCTTAGCAGCCCTTAAAATGTTTTACTATTAAGCTTGCTGTTATGCAGGATCCATACTTTCTGCAATCCTCCCTTCCATGTTTCTAGGAATGTTCTGATGAAACAGACAATTTGAGAGGGATAAAAAAATCACAATATTATGAAGCAATTATCAAATTAGGCATCACAAGAAAGCTACTATTCTTCACAATAAATCAGTTGGTCAATAAGTATTTTGAGACTTATTGTAGATACCATACAATATCTTTCTAAATATGTTTAATACAAATGCAATACGGACACACAACTCAAATGATGTGACTCAAATGATGTGACACATTGACTGTCCTGTAGAAATCTCATTGAGAAAGTAACTTTCCTTAAAAATCCACTTAAAATAGGGCACAAATGGCTTATAAATGCAACCTGCCAGGTCTCAAGAAAGAACAAAACCTACATGCGTCATTTGTAACACAAAAATACCAGACATATGTGACTTAACTGGCATAATATATATTACTCTTCAAAACAAAAAATGTGGGGAAAAACAAATACCTTAACAGTAGGAGTATATATTCAATAGACCTAAATAACAGAAACTTAACTTCACATAAATTAGCTATGTGAAATCACTTGCAACCATGATCGCCCATCCAAACTAATTAATACATTAAACAGTTTATTTGGATTACATTTATGTAGGACTTTGTGCTCAAAATAGTTTCAGTAACATTCCAACAGGATATGCAATCTATACACTAAACACAACCACTTACACAGCACAGTTTATTTTTAACATCTATTACTGAAAAAATACTGACAGCACCTGATACCTTTTCCACTCTTTGAACTTATTCTTTCGCAGTTTGAGATCAAGTAATAAACAAATGACAGGTTTTCAAGTCAAAACTCTTGCCACCTCTCCAACAAAACTCCAGCAAGACGTTGGTATAAAATGGAAAGTAAACCATTTTTCATACCAATTAAACATACAGTCACTGAAAAATTACAGTAGGTACAGGGGACCTCATCTTGTGGTTATGCCAAACCAGACTGTTATTTCTTTAATAATGGGAAAGTGTGCCCTCTACCCCGCGGTGTCTAGCTTTACAGAGGAGCCCTCTCTTCATGGCAATCACAGGGCACGTTCACATCATCACAGTGCTTCAAAGCACCCGGAATATTGGCACTTGTCTCGGTTCCACACAACCCAGCGACCCCTCACCCACACAATCTCAGCATTAAAACAAACATACCTGACATAGAATGGAGGTGAGTAATTCATATCTGAAGCAATCACATCCTGTAAATCATTTAAATCAGATAAAGAGGCACTTGTGAATACTCTTAAAAGGAAAGGATACAGCCTCAAAGCTCCATTTTGGGTCCCGATGGCCAAGATTTTCTGCACGGGGTCAAATGCCATTGATGAAGGTTGATAGGGGAATCCATGTCGCACCGTCTGGGGATCCATTCACAAAGGGACAACAAATACAACACACAGGGGTAAGAGAATAATCCCATTTTTAATTCAAACCCTTTTGCTTGCTGTAAATTAAATCATACATTATGCATTCAAATTGGAAAAAGAAACAATCATACTTGATTGTATATCTCAAATGTACAAAAGACAGCCTTAAGCCCTAAGGGGAAAAGATTAACTGTTAGAGAAAAGGGCTTTCTAAAGCAGAAACGGCTCAAGCACATTTTGCAATATTTTCAATCCCTATGCAGTTAGCCTCCACGTTCTTCAAACGATTTAGTGTATATTCAGATTTTAAACAGAGATACAGCATAAAGTACCTATTCCAGAGTTAAATGGTTAGCTGTGAAAATAGTTTTAAAGAAAGCACTTTTCATGGAGAGCAATATCAAAACTATTCCCGCTTTAATAAAATACGTTAAAAAATGAATCAAAATGCCTTAAGCTTGCGTTCGTTTTTCAAAGGAACATTAAACTTGCAGCCTCCGTTTTATGAGGCGTATTTTGTTTTTAAACTGGATAAGCTACTAAACCATATTATGCAATAATTCTCTTCTCAATAACAAACACCAGCTCTCCTGCAGTAGTGTTGTGTTGTCAGAGCATTGCAGGCTGTGTGCCACTGTGCTACAGGCATGGATTTCGCCAGTATAGTCTTTTCCATTTAAAAACATTTTAGCCACTTCATGCACGTTCCTTTTTATTTGCATTATTAGTACCATGACTGTTAGAATATTTATGCTCAATTATTTAGGTTTGCTCTAATCTTTAGACCAGTGATGTGCAGCATCTGTAATCTATTCATGTGCTACGCCTCCCCCCGCCTCGGCTCTATGTTCACTGATGATTGCCATGGAGAGAAACGTCATCAACAGACTCTTCGTATGTTGATACTGTCATGGGGTAATTTAATACGCTCTTATGTAACAAAACCAATCGCCCTAATATGCAGTTTTCTGCTGTTGTTTTTCCCCGACTATAAATACAGTATAATCAATATCGCAAACAGACTTACATGGAATCATGTAAACACAACATTCCCAAAGGAGTTACCAGTCGGTTCCTTTTAACTGTTAGAACCATGAAGGGCCATCTTGCCATTTTAATCCTTACATTTCGCAATGTTTTTGTTAGTATAAATTTTGTAGTATCTGGAGATTTTATGTAAGTGTAGGAACAACACAAAACGTTAATTTCATCATTTTGTATTTGGGGTGTTTGTACATTTTTATACACTAAATTTTGCAAACTATTATAAAGAAACACGCATACATTTAGACCATTACCTGCTATTGTTATTACGACTACTTAGTTTTAAGATACTAAATTTATCTCTGAACCACCTTTCCACAACTGAAATCCTGTGCAATAACGTGGGGATTGTTAGAAAACTATACCCCCAAAACGTTTATCTAACGTGTCTGGAATGATATGCAATAATGGTCAGTTTTTGACATTGTATTATTGTGTTGTTTTGCATTATTACAAATGCTCGATGAATAGGAGGGGGCAAGAGAAAGTCTACTCTGCAAAATCATCTCGTTGAAGGTGTAAATAAAGATCAAGAATTCTTCAGAGTAGATTTACTTTCGGCAGGTGTGTGCAGGATAGTTAAACTGAATGCAAAAATGAAAAAGACAGCTCGTCCTATTCAGTGTCAATACACACAATGCGGATGTATTACCCAGCTGTACAGTCCCCGCATAGTGCTCTAGTCTCCCATTTTCCAGTGTGCACCTTAATCCCAATAGTCGTTAAAAATAACTAGCTACATACGATTTTTTAAAATAGTGAATGACTCAGAAGTATTGTAAAAACAGTGCGTTCCCTTTCCTTTACACGTTTTGATCAAAGCTTTTAAAATGTTTTCAACGGGTATGAAGTGAGGGAAAGTACTATTTAAATCACTGCCCTATTTTGACTGCAGAGTCGTCTTCTGTAGGCTCTATAATGTGACAAAACAAAACGTTTTCGTTGAAATTTTGAAGGGGTTTATAAGCATTTGCCATTTGTAATGCAAAGGCCAGAAAGTAGTGGTGGCATGTGTCAACCACATGACTTAAAGATTCGTATTTCATAGCAGACTTCTATGTTATATCAGGTTGAGCAAGGAAAGTCAACTACAACCTTTAATCGTTTCAAGTCCTAAATGCAATGACAATGCAACAGTCAACGATTTTATCAAGTTACAGTTAATATCCTTTTATATGTCAGGGTGTAAACGTTGCACTGTGATATTTTAATAAACATTCTGGACTACATGTGTAGATGAGCTATTTAATCATGACTGTGTATTTCACTAATCTCACATTAATTGCACACGTCAAATATCTGGCTATCCTGCGTGTGCTGTTCAGGCGAATTAAAATAACAGGTATACTAGCAGGGTCGGTTACACTGCTGTAAGACCGTAGTAGTTTGCGGTGCAGTTACTGCTGTTAAATGTATTAATTTCCTCGGAAAGCTTTGACATTAATTTCCCTGGTAACGTGATACCGAAAGCTAAATTGAAAGGAGAAATATTTCTGAAATGCAAATGTACCCACACAGTGATTTGTTCTAATACAGTAGAGTAAAACGTCAGATTCCCCACCTTGCAGAGCTGGAAATGCTCGGATTGGAGAGTCTCCTGGATCAAGTCATTCTCCCTGTTTCCAGGTTGAGTAGATGAAGAGGAGGATGAGACCGCCGTCAGGCCATCCAACACCTTCCTGATGTTGAACTTCTTCATTTTTCCCCCACAAAAACACAGAGACGAGGATGGACCACAAAAATGAGCTAAACAGAACCACCAGTTAGACGGACAAGGGGGAAACAGCCACACAGACGCACACTCGCTCTCTTCTATTTTATTCTGTACATCTCACATGTTAAGAGTGTGCTGTCACTGCAGTCTCCATGTCAAATTGTGCGACCGCCACCTTGCAAATTCTGAAAGCCGACGAGCTGCTGGAAGAGTATTTATTTGTAATTTGTCTGTGGCGTGTCGATGCGATCCTCCCTAACTCCGTCTATCTCCTTCTGCGTCTGCTGTTCTGTCTTCGCTCCCCTTCTCTTCCCCCAGCCAACACGGAAACGCAGCTGCGGCGAAGAGCCTGCGCATTCAGAGCAGCACCCGGATGTGTAGCAGAGTCGCTACTGCTGCCTGCTGTCGGAGGGGCTCGTATGCTGCACAAGCGAGTGGAATAGTCCTAGCGTCAGGATGTGCTCTATTGCACCTGAAACAGAAAGGGAGGGGATGTGCAGAAGATCACCGAGGAGCAGTACAACTTCAGCTACTAGCCGTACCTATTTAACTTTTAAAACTCAAATTTCTGCAATACCAGTGTCATGAAAATTATCTGTTATTAAGGTCACTAACGGTAACATCTTTAGTAAAGCCCTCTAAAGACATTGCAGTAAAATAAAAACACTTTATACATAGAATTGTCGTAACTACCTGTACTGTACGTTTAATCCTTTTTTGTTTACCAATACAGAATAGAAAATGCAAGCGCATTAAACTTGCACAAGACGTTGATCATGTAACAAATATAAAATAATATTAATGTAGTCAGGCGTTTAAATTAGGGTTTCTCGGCTAAAGCTAAAATACATTGTAAACTTTCTACTTTGTCTATTGAAATGATCAAATTAATTGGTTCCTGTAACAGGCTTTTGTATATAGCTCTTCAAGCATGAACGTTATTCTAGGAAGGTTAGAAAATATATAATTGGTTAGTTTTTGTTGTAAAGAAAGCAACTTTTATAGTAAATGATTTTGATACTTTTTGGGGCACAATTTGTAGACTTCAGATCCAATTGGAAAACACAAAATAGTGTGTGATTCACAAAAATCAAGTAAAATGTTTACCACAGTGAGAGGAAATAAACAGCAAAAAACATAATCTAAAACTTTGTAGAATTCAAAGGAAACAAACACTGCTATTAGCAATAAAACTGTTATAAATGTGATTATTAACCAGACAACAATGAACAGTTCACATAAAGACAGTAGTTACTTGTTAAGAGAAAAGGGCAGAAATACCTACAACAACATAGTCCAGGTTATATACCTGTATACAGGTATACACATATACTGTTTTTGATAAGTGATTTCTGCTTGTGATGTTAATGGTTTATGGATAGGCTTTTAAGGTTGGAGAACTAATAATGGAGTGAATGGGATCACATTCCCAAGACTAATTGAAGAACCAATACACGGCGCTTCTTAATTTGACAGTATAAACCTGTGGTGGCTCTTCTGACAAAATATTTTTTAGAACAAATCAAATCTGGTAAGAAGCTTTAAAAATGCTTTTCAAAGAACATGGGGGATGAGGAAAAAGATAGTAGCAGGCTCATCCATACTTTCGCTGACTTCCTTAGTTTACTCTTCTTCTTGGCTTTGTATTCTCTGTATCAGTTCAGCCCCTTTCCTCATAGTCACATGCCATTTCCTTTAGCTCCTGATTATCCACTTTTTTACAGCCATCGTCTCAGACATGCAGTAAACCAGACTAGCAACTAAGATAAGCACTGCAAATGAGTGAAAGACTTCTCTTCATTCGGATTTGAAATTGCCTACCTACCTAGAAAAAAAGTACTATATGTGTTTGTCCTCAAAGCTTGTTCAAAAATGAAATCAGTGGTGGGACCTCACCATAATGTTGTCAGGTGGTTTATACAATTTCTAACTGTGTTATTAAAAAGGCATCCGAATGTGCCAGTGGTAACAAGCAGCTACAGAAATTACTGTATACAGCCTTGTTATCCTGTTCTTAAAAACAGCAATTCCAAAAGCCATCATACTACTGATCTTGATGACCACTGTCTTGAGGTCCTTACGGTCTGTTTACAGCTACTGTAGGTCCTAGCATTGTTCACATGTGCAAATACTAAATAAAAACACATCTGAAAAGCCACTTAAAAGGTGCCAAAAGTTCACGACAGTGTAAATGCACTGAAAGAGATCATCACTTCCTAATAAATTATGGAAAATGCATACATCATCCTCACCTGAACCTTATCCCAAACTAACATTGGCACTGTAGAAGAGCTGCTCCAGACACTCACTCACGAGGAAGATGTGCAAAAGGCAGTGTTACATTTCAACGTTCCAGGAGGTCTTTGGGTAATGGAAAGATCCAGAGGTAACCCACCCAAAACCAAGAGAATTGAACCCAGATGCTCAGGGCTATGTGGTAACAGCACACACCCACCACAACACTGCTACTCCAATTATGGAAAATACTTTTCAAAATACATTTAAATAATGCACTATTTTATTTCACCAGTTTTATTTCACTTTACACAATATACACAATTCTGTATTATGGTTAATACACCTATTGAATTTCTTGTGCATTTGCACGCCTGTGTCCCTCTGCTCCCTGCTGTAGTACAAGCTTTCTCAGTCACTGTAGAAGGCTACTACAACATTCCCTGTAGTGCCCTTTCAAAGAACGCTGAGAGATTTGCTAGTCATACCCAGCCACTTTCAAAAGGAATGACTCATCCTGCACTCCATAGAAAATTATATTTCACAAAACCAACATTTTAAAAATAAATTCTGGCCTATGGCAAGGGTGAACTTATCAGCTGGCCCTTCGCATCCACAGGAGGGTAATCCATGAATCAATGTTATAGGGCAAATGCTAAACTGATTTCTAGGTGTATTCCTGTATTTCTCAGTGAAAAATATTCTAGGTCAAAGAAAGGACACACCGTTTTTGAGTTCAAGAACAAAATGAGTTAGAGACCCACTGCTGAATGTTAGGTGGACGAGAAATGAAGTAAAGTAAGACTGTCTTGCCATATATTGTGTTAGTCACCTGTATGTGTTACATTATAGCTTTTCTGAAACTCCAGATTGCAATTGACCCTGCTCGTTCAGAAGCTCTTCCAACAGTCCGCATAGACTGAAGAATTGCTAATGTACTACACATAAGCAAAAGGAGTAAGAAAACCGAACCAGGTAATTGTAGATTACTGAAATGAACCTTTTTAGTCTTGAACAGAAAAGATTACAAGGGGACTTTATACAAGTATGCAAAATCCCAAAGTCAACCCAGAACATTTCTTCTCAATGAACAATGAAACATGAACAAGAGGGCATAAGGGGAAACTAAATGGAAGTGCCTTTAAAAGCAGGAACAGATATTGTAGCACTTGGCATATATATTTCTATACACAGCTGTTGATTTTTAATCCACTTTTTATCATGTATTTTTTTGTTAACTGAGAAAAGAGGCACGTACCTTGTGCAGCAAACTTTCCAACCAATCATTCTTTGTACTTCCAAAATCTGTCTGAAGTAGAGTTTAAAAAACTAATAGTTGGAAAAAATTCCAATCCTAACTGGTGATTCAACACTTGTTTAATAATATGCTGTGATTCTGCTAAAGAGGAGGTATTTAAACAGGTCATACCCAGTCTCCTTATATTTATGGACACATGATGTTGGCCTTACAGGCCATCAGGGATCACCACCTCAAAATGCAATACTGAATTCAGTGAATTAAGTTAATAGATTTCAATAGATTTGAATGGGTAAAACATAATGCAGCCTTCTGTTTCATGGCCCATCTAGTATTTCCCAATACAACTCAGTTTAGGTTGCGGTTTTTGTGCCACAATCAGTTTTTGGGAGCCATTTATTTATAGAAGAAAACCATATAGAGCAACGGATTCCAACTAAATCCTCCTTCTAGAACAGCCTCCTTTTACAAGTCAAAAACAGTTCAATACATTTCAGCAGCTCCCCAATTCACAACACTATAGCCACTCTGAGGCTTCAGATACCACACTGTGCATTCATAATAATGACAAAAGTTACAAAATGCTGCACAATGTAATTGTCTGTTACAGTGGTGGTAGCATCTTCAGAATGTTAACTATATTTGGAATATATGTGGAATATTTTATTAAGTAAAGTTTTTCTTAAAATTTCAAACAAGCATGTGGCACTTTGATTTTAGACAATAGTTTTACAGATTTTGTTATTATGTTATTGCTCACGGTGGTAATGATACAAATCTAGAAAGTGGTAATGCAGAGATTAGTAAGAAATGTGAATTAATAAACATACATGTACACTTAAAAGTTTTGGAAAAGGAGTTGGAATTTATTGGAGATAATGTAGAAAATCTAATGCATGTTTTTATGTGCAGAAAAAACACATTTTATCATTTTTTTTCAAAACATTTTTTTTACAGCAGTTAGTCAATCCTATTGTCTTGACAAAAGACAGCTGTATGCTCTTGTATTCCATTCTGTGTAGGCTTTGATAAGACTTCAATGTCTATGGAGGCTATTGTGCTAACTAGCAGTCTAACCTCAGTGCATCGATGTCTAATATGGGCACAAAAATATCATTTTACTTGCAATATTTAAGTACAACAAAATCTTAGATTCTTTAAGGTCCTGTGCTTAATGTTAATATTCCTAAAGTGGAGAAAATGATTTATTTTGAATAATCTGACTAAGGTTATGGTATAAAAGGTGCCACTTCTCTGTGACATATGTATTTTTTTTGCATAAAGAAAAATTTTCAATCGTTTCTTTTATTTCCAACTATTATGAGAACTTTGCACAGCCCCAAAGACATGTAGATCAAGACAAGGGGTAAGACACAGTTTTCATCAAGCTAGCTGTTGATTTTAGCTAAGGACATGGTTGTATATTTGTGGTCAAAGAAATGTGCAAGTATTATTTTATCTTGTGTGCTATATATACTGCACTATGGAGCAAAGGCATCTCCAGATCCAGCTTTGTAAATATTATTATTTGCAAAACTGTTTATCATTCTGAGTTGTTTTAAAGAAACACTGTTACACATTGTACTTAGCCAAAGCCTGCTATCTCCTTTTTTTCATTTTCGTTACTTTCCTCATTTTTAGTACATGATACAGCAGTTCTCCCATTACTGTCATACAAGCTATTGGTGGTAGCTTGTACATACTTGGCAGTAAAAAAATAGGTGATCATAGCCCAGACTGTCACGACCGCCAACCTGCCCAGACCAGCCCCCAAGAGAGCTAATCATTGCCAGCAGCAGGGTGATAATTACAAGCGCCGCTGCACATGTTAACTCAGCACCAGACGCCCTACCGTGCGGCAGGATGCAGTCTTTAAGCCACTCTAACCCGCTTCATGCTGCTCAGTATTGAGTCTACTCGTTGAGAGCTCTACCTGGTA